ACACATAATAATTAAAATGCCAAAGATTAAATACAAAGAGAGAATTTTAAAAGCAGCAAGAGAAAAGCAGTTAGTTCCCTACAAGAGGAGCACCCATACGACTGGCAGCTGATTTCTCAAAAGAAACTATGCAGGACGGAAGGTCTTGGCAAAAAATATTCAACATGATGAAGACCCAAGATGTACAACAAAGAATAATTTATCCAGCAAAGCTATCATTTAGAGTTGAAGGACAGATAAAGAGCTTCTCAGATAAAAATAAGCTAAAAGAATTTATCACCACCAAGCTAGTACTGCATGAAATGTTGGAGGGACTTCTTTAAAAAGAAAAAACATGTATCAAAAACAGGAATAAAGAATGGTAATAACTACATTCCTATCAAAAAGTACCTCAAATGGAAAAGAATTAAGTGCTCCAACCAAAAGATAGAGTGGCTGAATGGAAAAGAAAACAAGACCCCTACATATGCTGCCTACAGGAGACTAGACTCGCTTCAGATTAAAAGACAGACACAGTCTAAAATGAAGGGGATGGAAAAAGATATTGCCATGATGGACTTAGAGGGTATTGTGCTGAATGCAATAAGTCAGACAGAAAAACACACATATTGCGTGATTTCACATTCATGTGGAATGTAAAGAACAAAATAAACAACAACAGAAGTGGAAATAAACTCATAGATAAGAAAATGTTTTGAGGGTTACTAGACGGGAGAGGGGCTGGGGGGACAGCTAAAAAGGGCAAAGGGATTAAGAGGTACAAGTGGATAGTTACAAAATAGAGATATAAAGTGTAGCATAAGGAAAATAATTAACAATGTTGTAACAAATACATAAAGGGGAAGAGGGGCACTAGATTTAGTGGGGTGATCACTTTGCGAGTTATATAGATCTCTAATCACTATGCCATACAACTGAAACTAATATACTCTCATATGCCAACTATAATTGAAAACTCATTGAATTGTACAATGTAAATACAAGCAACTAATTGTCTATATTTTAATAAAGCCGGGGAAAAAATTTTGACTGATCAGAAATGGAAGGCAATATATACCTGACTAAATAAATAGAAGATGATGAGGCAATATGTAATATTAGATAAAATTTCACATGCCAAGAATCCATAGGAACTAAAAATAAAAGTAAAAAATCGTGATGAGAAATAGAGTAATCATAAAATTGTATAAACCTAAGAGCTTATCTTTGAAACATATAACATAAAATTGCATTAAAAACTAAAAAAGAAAGAAGAAAGAAAGAAAGAAAGAAAAGAAAAGAAAAGAAAAGAAAAGAAAAGAAAAGAAAAGAAAAGAAAAGAAAAAAGAAAAGAAAAGAAGAAAAGAAAAGAAAAGAAAAGAAAGAGAAAAGAAAGCCGTGCAGGTACTTATTAATTTTAATTTATGGGCAAAGTAATAGAATTCGATGTAAACCTTTTTTTCCAATGGCTTTCATTAAACAAGTAGAGCTTCGATTGCACAAGAGAAGTACTGAAATATAACTGTTTTCAAAATATTGAAGAGACAGGTTCACGGGTGTCAGATGTCATGCAGGAAACACTTTCGCAACTGGGGTATTCCCCAGCCTCGCTATTACCACACCCTTCCCGCATTTGTTTTTTTTCTTAAGTCACCGAAACTTTTCCCGTATTCAGAATCTTTTGCCATATTTGAAGTTTCTCCAACTATCACAAGTAAATTTTCTAGAATGTGGCAACTTCCTCTTCTTTTTTTTATCCTTCACCTCATACAAAATCAGGCTGAAATACCACATTTTTCCACTAGATGTCCCTGGTTAACAAGATGTCACTCTAAAATTTACTCCACGACAAATTTCATACGACTGGAATTCGACAAAAATACATATATTTAAGAAAAACTACATTTTTAACCGTGTAGCTTGTGAAGCCATACGTACAGCCTGGAAACGCGACTATCAATTATTTCCTCTGCAAACCACCGCTTAATAGACTGAAAAGTGTAAGTTTTTTGTATACAAACATTAGAACATAATATTCCCAAACACACCCCCAAACACAAAACACAAAAAGCTCACACGCTTACTGGTTTTGCCAACAGAGTCCTTAAAAAAAAAAAAAGTAACTCCATATTATATTTTAATTGAATTCTAAATATTAGTAAATAAATACAAGACTGTTTCACTTTCCCACGAAATGAGCGTTTTCCTTGCGAATTTCGGCCCCTAAGTCAATTCAAGAACCCGTGAAGTGGTTCTGCTAAATAGAGGAGCGTTTCCTAATGGGACGCGCGTGCGTTCCCTTGAGCCAGTTTCTCGGGGACCTACCCTTCTCCAGCGCCTCCAGGTACTTGTTCTCGGTGGCATTCAGGTTGTTCACATAGGCCGCGTGGTGCTTTGTGTAGTGCAGCTCCATGATCTGCGCGTTGATGTGAGGCTCCAGGGCGCCATAGTCGTACGGCAGGTCGGGAAGGGTGTACTTCTGCCTGGAACTCAGGGACCCCAGAGCCGTCGCCAGCTTCCGGCTCGTACTGGAAGACAGCAAGCCCGGACGGCCCGGCTCAGGCGGGTGGCGCGCACGGGCTGCAGGCGCAGCGGGCATCCGGGCCTCGCCACCGT